ACTCGTAGACAATGCCCCCGCTTCAGATTCCGCCGTATTCAATTTTCAAGAGGGCAGAAGTGACAACGGATGTCCTGGTGCAGATGGCTCATTCGGATTGGTAGCGTGAGTTTCGGGCCCCACAGGGAGGGGGCTTTCTCCTGAAATGCTGTCGCCATTTAATCGCAGACGACCCCCCGCCTGAATTTTTTTCAAAATTCAAGCTTCGAGACGCCAGAAATGACGACAGTCACAAGGTTCCGATGGCCCGTTCGGACTGCCCACATGAAATGCGGGCTCCATAGGGAGGTGCTCCCATTTGAGACTTCCTTGCGGTTTACTTACATATGAGGCTCCCGCTTGAGACTGCTGCCGCGTTCAGGATCGAAGGGCCCGACAGCTTCGACCTTTACATGGATCCGATGATACGTTCGGATGATTGAGAGCGGAACCACTTGCAAGGCTCCGATGGAGATTTATTTTCGTGGACATGGCCCAGCTTGATCCCGAATCGGGGAACAGCAGACGTATACGCCGCATGGGGGAGGCTTCGTGGCGCAAGAAAGCCATGGGGCTGCGCAGAGCTGTCTCTCATTCACTGCAGACCGGCAAGCCCATCTGGAAGTCAATCGCTCAGTACAAGCAGCGCCAGGCGTGCATGGGAATCGATCGTTCATTCTCCATGCGCGTTCCCCCGAACGAGTCAGATCTCCGCTTTCAGGCGGCTGTTGCATCAGAGTGCCAGTTCCGTGTTCTTTGTGTCCATGTTCGTTACATGGTGTTTGTGCGCAAATATCGGGGTTGACACGCAACGCTATGCCGCGGGCACACCCATCGACTTGCGACAAGGATGCGGCGTCTATTACCTTGGAGTCTTGTTTCAGCGGGTTCTTCTTGGTCTAACTGGGCACGCGGCTTGGGACTTGCAGGCCGACGCGGGAATGTGTTCGAGGCGCGTGAAACATCATCGACGCGGCGTGCGCGTTGTGACATATCATCGATGTCGTCTTCGTGCCAGCTGCAAGTTGTCTTGCCCCTGGGGCCGTGTTCGAGGACACCTAGACCGAGTTGAACGTCTTCCGCAAGTGCCGTTTGTTCAAGCTTCTGAGAGTTTTCCGCTTCAGCAGGGCCTCCCCCCGGGACGTGAATATATTCATTGAGAGCCTGCTGTCAGGATGGCAGGAATTGTCCATCATTTGGGCCATGCTCTCATGCCGGGCCTTCGTGCTCGGCGTTCTGCTGGGGGCGTCCGGCACGGACGAGGTGCGAGACAAAGAGTTCGGCTCCATGTTTCACGCCATGCACCGCCTCTTCGCGACGGGCATTCTGCTCGTCGGTATGAGTGCATTTCTGAGCGACATGCTGGAAAGCGGTGACTTGATCGGATTTCATCATGTGTGTGAGCATCGCGCAGAATGTCTTCTTCAACGTGCCATTGGACTTCATCTCGCCATCGTGCGAAGGTGCAAAGCTACTCCCTCGCATTCCACGTCATGGACTGGTCGGGTGGTCTATCCAAGTTCACGCATTTGCTCGAGATACGGCACGGCTACACCACGCAGCAACATGTGCTCTTGAGCGCATGCCGCCATAAGAAGTCCGAGAGGAGCTACAGAGGACCTGGGGATGACGGCCGAAGCGGCGGTGAGCAGGTTGAAGTTGTGGCATCAGAGAGCTGAAGGAGCAGTTCAGATTGCAGCAGAGCATGATTCTGTCGCGGTCTTACATCGCAGTCCAGGAATTCTTCGGGCGCGTAGATGCCGATCCTGAGTGGCACCTGGGAAACTGGCCGACGGGGGGGCCCGCGTTCGGATGCGCAGCCTCCGGGGCCCGAAGCAGGCTGCCATAGTGGCGGCGGCGAAGCGTCTGAAGGAGCAAGGCGACGAGGCGAGCCCACGTGCGCCGCAATTGCGGCCGCGTTCCCGACGGCTGTTTTGAACCCTGATACAGAGCAGCCCGTGGACAAGAAAGAGTGCAGTCGAGGCTGTGTTCCGGGAGGTTTGCTTTGGTGAAGGAGCGTGCGATCTATGAGATAACGGGCCGCGCCTGTCGCAAGACGGTCTGGACGACGCGCCCGAGCGGGAGCGGTGAGATTTCGCGAAGCACGTGACATTTGTCGCACATGCCGCAGCGGTACGACGACGCTCTCGCGAGATGTGACCTCTGCAGCTTTGTCCTCTGCCCCCCTCGGACTCACGCGAGGGCGCCGAACGCGGCGCTTGCGCGAAACGGGAAGACAGGATGGATGAGCAAAGGCTCGCAGGCGCAATCCCAGAACCTCCGCGGCCCCAAACGCAGCCTCGAGCTGCATAGCTCTGACGCGGCGCGCGCGGCGGGCCCGAGTCCTCGAGCGCGGGAAGCTCCGCGTCGAGCCGCTGCTTGACGATTTCATCGGGGGGGGGCCCGCTGGGGGCCCGGATCATGGCGGCGAAGGCGCGGGTTGCTCTGAATGCGGAATTCCCTTGGCTGCTGGCAGCTTCGCGCGCTCTTCGTGGCCCGCGGGAACGGCTGCTGCCGCGCTGGCTCGGGGGCGATCGCCGAAGGACATCCCGGAACGCCGAGGCGACGCGACCTCAGGGCCTTTTTGCCCTGGACGGAGGAGCAGCCCGGCCACCTCCAGGAGGGCCATGCCCCGCGAGACCGCGGCGTCGAGGACGCGGGACAGGATCCCGAAAACGCTTCCGAAGCGGTGCTGGGAGGAGACCGTCGAGGCGCACCGCGCCGGGTTGGAGGCCTGAGCGAAGCAAATCATTGGCGCCTGTGACGTCGACGGCCCGCGCCGCGAGCTGCCGTCCAGGGTGCAGAACCTGGGCCGCCGCCAGGGAGACCGCCTCGCCAAGTGATGCGATCCGCTGAAAGGTAGCGCGTGCCGAATGCAAGGGAACTCTGGCACTTGTCTGATGAGGCCCCAGAAGACCTCCGGGGAGCTCCCAGGGGAACCCCCAACAGACCCCATCATGGCTTCCGAGACCAGGATTATAGCTTTCTGCGTCCTGTCTCTGTTTTTTTTCTCGCCCCTCGCGCGCGCGCTGTGTCGGCTGGCGCGACGGCGCGCGCGTCCTGTTTCAACGCGGTTTTCTCTCCGCGCTCCGTTGCCCTCCTTCTTCTTGCGCGCGCTCCGCCAGCTGGCGCGACAGCGCGCGCATTCAGCATCATGGCTGCGTTCGCTCCTTTCTCCGCCTGTCCTCGATCTTCCTGCAAGTGCTCCGTCGCCTGGCGTAACAGCGCGTGCGGTATGTATCAAAGCAGTTTGCCCTCCGCCCTCTGGCATTCCTCGTTCCTTCTGCGCGTGCTCCGCCAGCTGACGTGGCAGCGCGCGCATTCGAATTCAAAGCAGCTGTTGTCCCGTCTTCCGTCATTCCTCGCCCCTCCCGCGCGCGCTCTTGGCCAGGCAGGCCAGGAGAATAGAACGACATCCAAAGACCAGCAAAGTACGGATTTGACATTTCATCAGAAAGCCAGTCAATGTTCTCCCCGACGAAACCGCTAGCCAAGACTTGCGTGTCGTGACCACTATCTGCAAACCTGGATGGCGCCATTCGGGCAGAGGACACTTGCCCCCCCAAGCGAGTGCCTAAACAGCCTAAGCGCCAGTCCAAGGAAGACCTACGACAACCCATGACCCGCCCATGAGTGTCACAACCATTTTCCGACGGCGAGTCGCCCGCAGATTTCGTATTGTTTCATCACAGTGCCATTGGCTGGGGGTTGAACCCAAGCGTGCGAAGCTCGCGCGTGGTTTTAGTGCTACATCTGTATATAGATAGAGAGAGAGAGAGAGAGAGAACACAAAAAAAACAGAGGCAGAGACATATAACAAACAAGAAGACAACAGAGAAACAGAGTGAGAGAGAGAAAGGGAGAGAGAGAGAGAGAGAGAAACACAACAACACATCCCTGTCACAAGAGTGGGTCGGTGAAGGTTCGTGGGTCAAAGGTGGGTGGGGGTCCGCAGAAAAGAGTGGAGTTTGAGTAAGGCCCCAGTGGGGCCTGCAAGAGTGGAGAAGTCGGCTGTGAGGTTTGCTGGCGCGTTGTGGTGCGCGGCCCGCAACCATCCTGGGCAACGCCAGGACAGCCGTAGGTGAGTTTACCCATGCCCGCGCTTGCTGTCTTTCCTCCCCCCCCCCCGCTCCTCTCCCCCGAAGGGGGCCCCACCCGAAGCGCGGCGAGGACGCGAAGATCACCCCCCACTCGCCAATCCTCCCCCCCCCCTCGGCTCGCCCCGCGCCACTCGCTTTTCACTGTCGCTTCGCCTGGCGAGGCGGAGGAGGGTAGCGGTTCCGTGCCAGACCTCGCGGCTCCGGCCTCGCTCCTTCTGTTAGGCAGGGGCAGCCTGTGTGGGCTGCGCTCCGCCTGCTCCGCTCGTGCAGCCGAGCGTGGGCGGCCGTTAGTTTTCAGCGGGCATGGGGCTCGGGGGCCCCAGCGCAGCAGAAGGCAAGAGAGAGAGGGAGACAGAGAAGCTCAGAGGAGGAAAAGGTACCGATACCTCTGCCCTTCTCCTGGTTTCCCCTTTTTGGGCCTCCTGGGAGGCCCTCGTCGCCACCGCTGGATTCGCCTCGAAATTCTGGTCAGAACGCACCCTGGGAGAGGTCCGGGGAGTAGCGGTATCGGTACCTCTCGGTCTCCCTCGAAGCCGCAGACGTCAAGGGTGCACAGGCAAAGCGGCGAGACAGAGGCCGCTGCCGGAGGCGCGGGTGTGACACAGCGAAGAGCCCGGGAAGAACTGCAGATACCCAAGGGCACGGACCCATTCGGCAGAAGCGGGGCAGAAGAGGGAGCGGGCCGCACCGCATCGCCGACGCTTCTGACGTTGCGGCGTGACGGGGGGCGATAACATGGGGGGCCAGCGAGGGCTGCAGAAGAGGGGGCCCAACGGGCTCAAAGGTGCCCCATAGGTCCCCAAAGAGGGCCTTCGGCATGAAAAGGGAGCCCAAGAGAGGCAGAGGAGGGATCGACGCCTTACGGAGCAGAGGAGGTCGCGACGCCTTGGGGACGAGGTCGAGCCCAGACCCTCCGCCGAGGCCCAGGCGGAACGCGGCGGCTTCAAGTCGGAGCGGGGCGCCAGCAGGGGCCCTGCCGCCGGGAGGGGCCCAGGACCGCGCGCGGGCGAGTCGTGGTCGGGGGGATCGGTCGTCGGCGCGCTCAGGGGGTAGGTTCACCAAGGGAGGAAAAACCACCCGGACCGGACACTTGGCGTTTACTATACGGCCTTGGGCGGTTACTAAACAGGCCTGCCCTGTTTGATTCCTTCTTTGGGTTCGTTTACTAAACGGCTTCGCGTGTCGGGGTGGGTACTACCGGGGTGGATTTTCTGCCCCCTAGTCTGGGCCTCCTAGACGGAGTCCGAGTAGATGTGTTCGGAGGATCGAGCCGCATCGCCGATGCATCGGCGATGCGGCTCGATGCGGGGCCCGATTTTCTCCACGCCGACGTCCCCGATGCGTCGCCGACGTCGCCGATGTGTCACCGATGCATCGTCGATCCATCGGCGATGCATCTGCGATGCGGCGGGATTCTCCGACCCGACCCACCTACTCGGACCCCATCTGGGAGGCCTCCAGGGTAGGGGGAGGGGGGAAGGCTTCTTGGAAGGAGGCTGCTTCTTGGAAGGAGCGGGCCTGGTCTGCGGATGTGAGGCCCCGCCTTCTCAGAGGCAGCCTCCTTCTCTAAGAAGCCCTCTCCCCCCCCTCTCCCCTGCCCCCCCTCCCCTGCCCCCCCCTCCCCCCCCTGCCCTCCCACCCCTCCCCTTCCCCTCCCCCCCTCCCCCCTCCCCCTGCCCCCTAAGGAGCCCTCCCCCTCCCCTCCCTCCCCCCCCTCCCCCTCCCCCCTCCCACCTCCCCCCCCCTCCCCCTCCCCCTCCCCCCCCCCCTAGGGAGCCCTCCCCCCCCCCCCGCCCTGCCCCCCTCGTGGCGCCGCGCCGCCGCATCGAGGCCTGTCAGGAGAGCGGGCCCCGACCCAGAGGAGGGCCCGTCGAGGCAGCGGTGCTTGGCCTTCGGGGGCCCCCCCTCGCCGCCACGGCCGGGCGCAGCTCGGGAAACGGGTGCGTCTGCTAAAACAGAGCTAGGATCGGGATAAATCGCTCCAGAGCGTTCCGGAGCGCTCTCAGAGCGTTCCGGAACGCTCTGGAGCGGCCGCGGCGCCCAATACATCCTCCAAACCCGCCCATTCTCAGAGATTTCGAGTTATCCCGATCCGATTTTGTCCCGATCTTCGTGTCGTTTTATCTGCTTCCCGGGAGGGGTCTCTGGACGCCCGAAAGGGGTACTGGAAGAATGGGTACTATGCCCCACAGCGGATCTTGTTCGTTCTGAACAGGCCTCGCTGTCCACGCCGCCGCGGCCTGTGTCCATTCGAGACTGGAGGCCGCCTGCCCAACAGCGGCCGCTGTTGGTTTGGGACAACATTTGTTGTTGGGCATTGTGCCCATTTTTTCGGTACCCATTTCGGGCGTCCAGATTCCCAGGAGGGGTCCAGGGGCCGAGTTTGATCCGCCTCTGTCTCAGCTCGCCGTGCTCCGACGCACGTGGGGGCATCGCGGATTGCGGGACGGTGGCCTCGAAGGGGCCTCAAGCGGCCTCGGGCCCGAGAGGTGCATGAAAGGAGCACGTTTCTTTATTCCTCGCTCATTGCCCCCATTCAACGAGCACCCGATCGGGGGGGAGGGGATGGGAGGTCTCGTTACGATCGAAATGGAGACATAGAGGAAGGAGGGCGCAGACCATCAGAAGTCCTTGTCCATTCTAAACAGATCTCGCTGTCGTTGTGGCCGCCGATGTTGCTCATTGGGGGAAAGAGGTGGGTGGGGGGGGTCGGGGATCTAGGAGAGGAGCATCAGGATGAGGGAGAAGGGGAGGGAGCGGGGTCGGAGGGCAGAGTTGATCGGGATCAGAGTCGGGAAGGGTGGCGGAGAGGGGAAGGGAGGACAGGGGGAGGAGGTTTCTTCTTCCCCATCCCCATCCTTCATCGGCGATGCGGGACGATCCTCCGATCCCATCTGCTCCGGCCACGTGGACAGCCTCTGGAGGCAGACGGTGGAGGACGACGATTTCTTTCCTGCGTCGCACTGTGCTCGTGACGCGGCCCCCAGGGGATTCCGACCCATCTCCCAGAGCTCGCTTTTCATCCCGAGTCCTGTGCTGACCTCCCTGCTCAGGCTCGGAACGTCCCTCCAGAGTCCGGAAACACAGTAAGAAACCTCCGACACGATTTCGCTCGAGTCGCCAGAGGCCTGGGGACGACGGTGGAGTAAGGATGCAACTCCTGGGAGGTTATTCAGTACCGGCGCTGGTATTTCCGTGGTCGTTGCCCCGCCTAACCTGGCACAGTTCATTATCGTTGAATCCCGCTTCATCCGGCGAAGTCGGGCCCACGTACTCCTTGGCGTCGTCCAGCGCGATCTGGCTTAGTGGCGCTTCAATCGGGCCTCATGATCTCTTGCGAAGGCCTCCCAGCAGCTGCCTCCCACAGTGGGGGCGCGTGCCAAGAAACCAGTTGGATTCTGCCAGGGTGCCCTGGGTTTCTTGGATTTCGATGGGCCCCCAATAATATCTTGACGATGTTAGATCGACACATTTGGATTCTCACTGGGCACATCGCGGATTTCAGGGCTGGGCTTCTTGCGGAGGTTCCTCGTGGCCGAGCCCCCCTTGTGAGTGTTGGGTGTGCCTCCCCCCCCGGCCGCCAGGGAAGCGCTCCTGGGCGGGAGCCGCCTACGCCGACGCCCCTGCCTTCCGAGGCGCGATCGGGCCAAGCGGCGATCGCTCGTCGCGCGCGCGGGCCGCCCCCGTCCGCGCCGCGCCGCGGGGGCTCCGAGGATGGAACGACGGGTCGGGGAACGCAGGCCTTTGAGTGCGTTGGAGCTCGGGCTCACCGTCTCCTCCTCCTCCTCTTCCTCCTCCTTCTCCTCCTCCTCGTCTTCCTCCTCCTTCTCCTCCTCCTCCTCCTTCCCCTCCTCCTCCTCCCCCTCCTCCCCCTCCTCCTCCTCCTCCTCCTCCTCCTCCTCCTCCTCCTCCTCCTCCTCCTCCTCCTCGTCCTCCTCTTTGTGATGAGCGCGTGGGATGTCTGCAGCGGGAAACCGCGTCAAACTCTACACGTTTCGCGTATCCCCACCAGCTTCTGCCCCGCGCGCGCTCGGGAATTTTTGTCGCGGCCGCAGCCCGACCGTGACTGTTCGCCGCTGGCGCTTCGCCTGCGGCTGTAATGTATATATATATATATATATATATATATATATTTACATTTATATATGTATATATATATATATATATAAGTATCCCCACCAGGGCTAGCATGCTGAGTGGTTCAGCCTTCCGCGACAGGTACAGTCCTGCAGGCCCACCTTCAGCCCCCCGTGCGTTGCCACGGCTCACGACTGCTCAGCCGGTTGGCTTGTGCAGGTCGTCCGTTCGGAGCCTGGCGCCACATTGGCGACTCACTCCAATGGCCATCTTGACTCGACCCTGCACAATGACTTGCCCACCGTGGTCCGCGGGTTCTGTGCGGGTTTTGCCTTGGCCGCTTGCATTCTGATCATTTTGTCAACTGTTCGTGCCAAACTTGCAGTGCGCCAGTCAGTTCAGCTTCACCCAGCTTGCAGCTGCCGTCTGAGTGGGCCGGCCGGCGCGCCGGACCTAGCCAATTAGCCTCGTTCGTGGCCCAAACGTTGCCTTCGCCGCCTGACCCTTGTCTCGTGGCCGCTGACCAAAAAAATATCCCCACCAGTTTTAGTAGCTAATTCGGCCGCTACCATGTCCCGGAGCGCTTCTGACTCCGCTAACGCCTTCGCTCGCGGACGCTACCGAAAAAAAATATCCCCACCAGTTCCTGCACCCGCAACCTCCGCGGCCGCTACACATTGACGGCCCAAGATAACGCCTCAAATGCCTTGCAGATGTCTCGAAGTCGTTTTGGGTCGTTTGTGTTTTAACGCACGAAAAATGCCTAACATATCTGTTTGAAATGTTATGGGTTTTGCTGTTCGGTGATTCGTGTTTAAATTGTGTTGGCTGGTTCGATTCCTTCAGTTCTTCGGGCCGCTAGATAATGTTCAGGCTGGTAATAATGACCTGGCCCGCCCCCCGCGCGGCCCACAACCCCCGACCCTCATGTATAAGACGAGGGGCCGCCATTCTATATAGCGGCCCCACCCCGAGGATTGGACAACGACCGCTTTGGTTTCGCAATGCAGTCGGTGGATTAGTTTCAGCAGCACCAAACGCTGATGGCAATTATGGGGTCCAGGGGGAGGAGGGGGAGGAGGAGGGCGAGGAGGAGGAGAAACGGGCGTTTGAAAGAGTCGACAACGGCATGTCCCAAGACGTTGTTCCGAATGTTGGTGGCCCTCCTCCTCTTTGTCCTCCTCCTCCTCCTCCTCCGCCTTCCCCTCCCGCATTTAGTTTCCCCCTCCTGCCCCATTGTCGTCGTAGTTTTCCCCCTTCCTCCTCCCTCTCCGTCAATGCGTTCCCGCCTCCTCCCCCTCCTCCTCCCCCCCCATCCATTCATGGCCCTCACCCTTTACGTTGATCGCAAGGGGCCGATTGCAGGGGTACGTCGGGGGGCGACCACGTGAATCGCAAAGTTGTTGCATCAATTTCTGTATCAGAATTGGTTCCGTAACCGTTTTGGCTCAATGTTGCATGTGGTTTCGATCGCCCTTTTGAGATTTCGATGCAGTTGGACGATGCTTCGGTTGACGCCGCAAGAGTTGCAGGTGGCACGAGCGAGCGCTCGTGAGCGGCGTCGGCACGAGGAGGCTGGGCAGGGCCGATCGTTGCCCGCCTTGGCAGGCAATGTTGCGAGGATTCGCGAGCAGGTTGCCCAGGATGTGTCTCTGCCGCGGCTGATGTTCACATGCTCCTTGTTGTCGCAAGCAACCCGAGACTTGTTGGTATTGGCCCCTCGCGTTCGCGAGGATGAGATGGATGCCCACGCTGCGGAGCTTTTTCTCAACAGGAGCCCCCACATGGGGAAAACGGCTCGAGATGATAATCTGGGCATGCATTTTCGGGCGCTCAATGCGAGCACTTACCAGGCCGCGTGTTGTCAGTGGAACAGTGACAGAGTATTTCGCCACGCTCGGTCAGACGCTATCGTGAAGCTGGCCAGGACACCACGTTCTGGTGTTCGTGCCGTAGCAGCCATTGACCACAACAGCTACGACGAAACGCCGCAGGTGTTGCAGACGACCGACAGGCGGCGCCGCGTCTCCTCGCACGCACTGTCGGATGCGATGGTGCCTGCCCCGTCCAATTCGCGAGCGGCAGGCGAACACCACAAACTTGTTCTACATTAGGAGCTACTTCGCATACGTCGTGTCGCGCAGGCGTTGCAATGCAGAAAGAACACTTCACCATTTTGATTGGCAGGTCCACGAGTGTGAACCAAGCGTTGAAGGCGAATTCTGCACAATGCATTGCCCAGGCCCTGTTGGAAAAACGATGCCACGCCAATGCCTGACAATTCTTGACGTTTCGCGTATCCCCACCAGCCCATCCATAATTTGATTGCCAATTATCTTGAGGCTTCTTGGGTCTTGAGGGCTATCTTGAGCCGTGCTCGGCTAGAGGTTGTCGGAGGCTATCGTGAGCCATGCTCTGCCATTTTGGGTCATCATGGGGCTGCCTTGAGGCCTCCTGGAGGGCTGTCGGAGGCTACATTGAGCCACGCTTGGCTATCTTAGGCCATGTTGAAGGCCATCTTGGGTTATCTGGGGCCCTTTTGGAGCCATCTCTGGCCAAAAAGAGCGGTGGGTGGTCTTCGGGCCATCTCTAGCCAAATGGCCCCAAGAGGCCGGGGGGGCCTCTTGGGGCCATCTTGGGCCCCATGGCTCAAACAGAGGAGGTCCTTCAATTAGTGCCGCCCCCTCGGAGGCTCAAACATGGCGTCTTGGGGCTCTCTTGGGGCGCTCTTGGGCGCCTCTTGGGCGATCTTGGGGCCGTCTTGGGCCTTCTTGGGCCCCTCTTGGGGCTCTCTTGGGCCATATTGGGGCCATCTTGAGGTCCCGGAGGCCCATCGGACGCGAAAGGGCGAGACTGCCAGACACATTGACTCCCCCTGGGCGCTTGAAGGTTTTTGGGCGTGTTGGAGGGCGCCGTGGAGGGCTCGAAGGGCACGCGGATCCGTCTTGTGGATGATTTGGGGCCTCTTGGAGGTATGTCGGGGCCTATCTTGGTTCATCTTGGAGTACCTCGAGCCTTTTTGGAGGCCATCTTGCCACTTGGAGCGCCTCGTGGGGCCGTCCTGGGCCATCTTGGACGCCGCGGCGCCCCCCCCCCCCCCGCTTCCAGGCCAGGGCGCCCCCCCCCCCCCCCCCCCGAGCGGGGGAAGGGTGGGGAATCGAGAATAACAAACTCCTCATACCACCGTAGCCCTAAAGGGCTGGTGGGATTTTTCCATGGCAGGGCGAGAGCAGCCGATTCCGATCGGCACCCCAGCAATGATGCAGCGGAGCGGGAGATATTGAGGCTCAGGCGCTGCACAGCTGAGTGGGGCATCTTGACATGGAAGTGCACTGCCCACAAAACATTCCAGGTCCATGGTGATGCTTGCACGCACTTTGAGTGGGTTGTGAAAAGTGTGCTGCACGTTGGTTTGTTGCTCTGCACAGCAGGTATGTTTCAATAATTCCGCGATTGTCTTTGCGCCGTGGTGCGGAAGATTCTGCGCCTTCGATTGGGGGGGCCAACTCAAGCCATGGTTTTTTTATCACATGATGGTGCTGCGTGCTTTCGTCCCTGTGGGTCAGCATTCTCTTGGGCGCCGTGTCCTTCTTCGTCTGCTCCCCAGCGGCGACTGGCTCCAGGAGTCACATGTCGACGTGTGGGTGGAGCAAGCTGTTGAGAGCCCTGAGCGGTACATATTGGCCTTCGGCATATCCCTTATCCTACAGCCGTGCCTGGGTGGTGGGTCAGCGACCTCACGGTTGTTGGTTGGGGTCCCGTGGTTGACATCTCGGGCGCCGTTGGAGGTTCGTCGTGGGGGGCACGCATGGGTGCTCTGGGGCGTCTGCGGGGCCTCGATGGTGCATTGTCCTTGTAGTGTTGATAGTTCTTGGGCGTGGTGGGTGGGGGTGGAGGGGGGCGGGCGGCGGCGGCGGCGAATGAGGCGGGGTGGGCGGGGTGGTTTTGGGGCGCGCGGGGGCGCGCTGGAGCGCCGGGGCGCCTTCGTGCAGCGCTGATGGAGCGCCCTGGGGCGTCGGGGCGCCGAAAAGGCGGCGGGGCCAAACTCCAGCGACGTTGGCTTCCTCGAAAGAGGGGGGGGGGTGGCTCGCGGGGTGCCTAGGGCGCCCCCACCTGGTGGCGTCTTGGGGCGGAAGGCTTACAGTATCGTTTCCTGTTTCGTCTCTGGGCCCCCCCCCCCTTGGATCTGGCGCGGTTTCCTCTTGGGCCGTCGTGGGCGCTTCTGGGTCGCCCTGAAGCCATCGTGAGCCGTCGTCGGGCCCTCTCCGGCCGTCTTGGCATGCGTTTGATCGCGCGCGCGTGCGCGCGGCGCGGGGGGCGGGGGCGGGTGGCGCGCGGGGGCTCGCAAGCCGCCTTGGAGTTTCGGGAAGCCGCCACTGTGGCACAGCAGCCATACCTCAATATCCACATCGCACATCAGAGGTGTCTGCCTCTCGCGGCACCTTTTCTGAGGCCTCTTCTGTGTATATTGATTGGGCAGTCTTTGGGGGCACGTTGGGCCGTTTTGGGTACATTTGGGGCGCTATGGCGCAAACTTGGGGCGTTCTCGGGTTGCCCCGGGGCCGCCTTTGCGCTCTCCTGGCCCAGCTTCGGGGTCTCTATTCACCGCGCCACCAATTGCGAAAGACGGCGCGGGGTCACCGCGCCACGGCCCAAGCAAGTTGAGGGCGA